CTTCATTGCATGCTCCCACTGGAGAGAATCTTTCATCTTGACTGCCTCGGAGTAACTTTCTGGCTCATCATTTTCTGTCAAGAGAATATAATTAACTGAAGGCGTATATCTATCTGGCTTCTTTGTAACTCTGGTGGACCTCCTGACCCACTGATCACTGTGGTCAGATGGGGATTGTTCATCTTCAGACTCCGAACTCCCACTGTCAGAAGCTACCTCTGACTCATCATTTCCACCGACTTCAAGCTCTGGAACTGCGTTGACAATTGTTTCAGTTTCTTGTTCGGAAACCGGTTCAGGAACCAGTTTAGCTCCCTGCTTTTCTGCTCCTGTGTCAAACTCAACCTGCTGTTTTTGAACCTTAGAGTTTGATTCCTTTCTGTCTTTGTACAATTCAGCCTCATTGAACGTTGCATGTTTACTCCTGACTACCTTTTTGCTTTCAAAGTCCCAAAGCCGGTAGCCCATCTTGTCTGATCCATAGCCAATAAAGGTGTACTTCTTGGCCTTTGCATCTAGCTTATCACCATCTTGATTCAAATCATAAGCACTGCACCCGAAAACCTTTAGGTGCTGATAATCAACAGCTTTACCCTTCCATTCTTCTTGAGGTACTTTGAAACCCAACGGAACTGAAAGCGATCGGTTGATTAGGTAAGTAGCAGTGTTAACTGCGTCTGCCCAAAACATCTTCGGGAGCCCTGCATTTATTCTCATACTTCTGGCTCTCTCGTTTAGAGTTCTATTCATCCTTTCTGCGACTCCATTTTGTTGAGGAGTGCGAGGAATAGTCTTTATCATCCGAATGCCTCGTTCAGCACAAAAGTCCATGAACTCTGTGCTAATGTACTCCCCTCCGTTGTCCGATTTCAAACATTTCACCTTCAAACCAGTTTCAAGTTCAACGGCAATTTTCCATTTCTTAAAAACATCAAATACTTCGTATTTACTTTTAAGAAAATAAACCCATACCTTGCGTGTGGCATCGTCTATGAAGGTCACATAGAATCTCGAGCCTCCCAAGGATTCAACTCGCGTTGGACCAAAAACATCTGAATGAATAAGCTCTAACTTCTGAGCTTTAGGTACTCTCCCCGTCTTCACAAAAGATACCCTCTTTTTCTTTCCATAAACACACGGTTCACAGAATTCAGATTCAACTTTCTTTAGGTCTGGAAGCTTTCCTTTGGCTACAAGCATTTTCATCCCCTTTTCACTCATATGGCCGAGTCGTTGATGCCACAACTTGGAGAGACTCAGCCCATTAGTTACTGCATTTGCATCTCCTGCAGTTGTCTCAGCCATGTACAAAGTACCCTGTTTCTTTCCCTTAGCAATTACCATACTTCCCTTGACAACCTTCCACTGTCCAGCCCCGAAGTGAACATTATACCCCTGGTCGTCCAATTGCCCAATGGAAATCAACATCTTTCTCAATTTGGGAATTACCCTGACATCTTTCAATGTCCAAATTGTTCCCAAGTTGGTTTTTAAGTCAATATCTCCCACCCCAGTAATATCCAACGTTTGATTATTAGCAAGACTTACAGTACCAAAGTTGCCTTGTCTGAGATTCTTCATCTTTCTCGAACTAGAGATAGCATGAAACGACGCACCTGA